TTATCTCCCCCCCCCCGCACTGAATTTAAGCCCCTATGTGACAGACTTTGGAGGCGACAGGTTCTCTTTATGGAGACATCAGGGGTCTATTAGATCTCTGATGCCTCCCCTGCTCTCCAATACAGTCAATTAGGCATAGGATGGGGGGAGTTCCTAACAATATTTACATAAATAAACCGTGTGATGCGCTGGGATCGGCGCATGAGTACTGTGCCTGGGAACATAAATTAGCAGCTTTTGCTTTTTCCACTTCTCAAAACATCACCTGACAAATGTCCTATGCTTTTGGTTATGTGAGTAGCACTGGAGGGAACCTAGAGCAGCAGTTTTTCCAATGTATATCTGTCCATCTTTCTGGATGATTTTTGCTTCAAATGCTCACATAGGCAAGCGCAATGTATTTTCAAATTTTACTGATCACAAACCTGTGAAGGTGTTGCTCTCATGCTACTTTGTGTCCACACAAACTTGACTTAATTTTATATTAAAATGATGCTAACAATGTAATACCAACAGGCTCTTTTTTTCCCCCCCTGTATGTGTTCCAATGTAGCAATGAAAGGTGACAAAAGCTCTCCCAAATTTCAATGCAAACTGAGCTTTACCATCCCACTACCTTACATAAAAATCACACTAATGTGATATCTTTTAATCAGAAGATTGTATTATATTTTGGTTGATTATTGAAGAGGCACCAATTATGTTAAACATTATTTTAACATACACGTATGTTAAAAATTACAGTTTTATTCTTTTTTTTCCAAATTAACAATTTCTTCATTAAAATGTTGGCACTAAAAGTATCTACTACCAAATTAATTCCATATCTGTCCACAAAATCTAAAGGTTGTGGAACTCCAAAAACCCTCTGGGTCTTTGAAAACAAAAAGGCTCGGAGACTAAAGTGGATAAGAATAAGAATTTGTCTATAGGAACCAACAACAATTTATTAGCAGCTTTAGGAAAAAAGTAGGTTTGTTTTGGACAGCACAGCTTTTTCTGAATAGTATACTTCAAGTTAATCTGCAGAATTACAGAGCAGCTGATATGAGCCATACACTATTGCAGAATAGCTGATTTTCTATATCGGTCATAAGCTATAATCTTATGTCGAGGGCTGATTAATTTGTAATTTTATGGTAGCCTCTAAAGCATGACTTTCTCACCTTGTAGAGACGGAGGTGGCTACAGGAGGCCATGAACAGTGCCTTTGCAGGCCAGGCTGATGAAGTGCAGCAAATAAAGGAATGCCTACAGGAACTGAACACTGTTACAAGCGATGAAGATGGAGGTGGTCGGAAAAAAAGGGCACTGGAATTGCTTGCATACCTGTGTGAAAACCTTGATAATGCTTCTGGTAAATATAATTGCAATAATATTGGCTTAGTTGTTGGCAATGATTTGTTGCCATTTCTCCTAAAAAAGGTCAAAAGCCATTGGGGGGAATTTATCAAAACTGGAGCAGACAAAATCTGGAGCAGCTGTGCATGACAACCAACCAGCTTCTCTCTTCAGTTTGTTCAGCTAAGATTTGAAAATGAAAGGAAGAAGCTGATTGGTTACCGTGCACAGCTGCTCCAGATTTTGTCTGCTCCAGTTTTGATAAATTCCCCTCATTGTGTTTTGAGCCTCAAAAGAAATGCATTCAAAGTTCTGTCATAAATAGTGTGACAAATGGCCATGGAGGACACAAGGAATTGTCCTCAACTGGGTTTAAGTTGCCCCAGGTTAAAAGGCTCCACATTGGGACAGTGGAGAATGGATTTCTCTCTCACTAGGGCTCTAGAGTCTAGTCATTGCCACCACTACACTTGTTTGAAGCCACACTCCAGGCAGAATGATCATTTACACTACACTTTGGGTGTGTAAATTCTCATTAAAAAGCCGGATGTTATGTGCAGAGGTTGGCTGCAAAGTAGAAAAAAAAAATCTAACCCTGCAGTATGCCATCCCCCACACACAACGGCCAGCTTCCAAACAATGAGAGAGGGAGAGATGCGACCCAAGCTGTACTGAGCTCCGGTCTGTGATCCAGACAATATTCTATACAATATATAGAATGGAAGCAGCAGAATAAATGTAAGAGGACTTCAGACGGTGGCCTCGTATGGATTATTACCCAGTATGGGTTAAAATAAGAGACTCTATGGTCAATGTTGGCTAAACATTGACATGTGTTACAGTTTTGTCCAAGAATTTCAGAAATGGTTGCCCACATTCTCTCCTGGTAGTGTTTAAAAGTCTTGGCTAACTCCATACATTATGAATATACCTCATTTCTACTTGGGTCACCTTTTCCGGTGACAGTTGTCTAAGAAGCGAATTCTCTTCTTTCGGAGACGTCCTATTTTCTAGATATGTAAGATTAGTTTAGTTCCGAATCTAAGTTTGGACGAATTTCAGCATATTCGGACATTCAGATGCATCCAATTTCCGAATGAAAATTGAAAAAAAATTAAACAAGACCCTTTTAGGTCCTTAGGTTGTTTGGCGTTGGGGTTCCCCCTTAAAATTCTGTTGTCAAAATAAAATACTTTGAAAGTAAAAAATTCTGTCAGTCAAAAGTTAAAAAGAAAAATTCCCTTTTTTTTTCTTTTCCCCCCAATGTCACTTTGCTGCAACGTAAATTAATTTGTAAATATCATTTATTAAACAGATATTACAATGTCAACTGTGTATTTTAAAAGACCAAAAGGAAGTAAATAGAAGTTTGTTGTTAGAGTTTACATACACTTAAATGGTTTTTGGGATCACGTTTGTGTGTACAAATTCATATTCATTAGTGGACTGCATACATGTACTGATCAGCACTTTAATTCCTAGACTCACATAGTAGAGCCTAGATACATCCAATGTTACTTTTGTAATCCAAGTATTTTTAAGGACACGGCATTTAGCCAAAAATAATGACCTAATGCAAGCAATAGCTACATGGTGTGTGATGTTAAGACATATCATCAATGGAAGTAAAAGGAGTTTGCGTCATTTTACAGCATTTTCACAGCTGCGATCTAGAGATTGCTCGAGAGCTGTGCTATGAGAGAAGGAGCAATACAGAACTTAAAACAACCTCCATGCATAGATATTGTTAGATGGGATAGAAAGAGGAATAGCATCATGTTAACCATTTTGCTGCTGGACCAAGTTTTCCATTTTTCGCACACACATGATAAATTGAGTACAGTATTTGTTTTTGCTAGAAGACTTACTAAAAACTCCCAAAACTACACATTCTCTGAAAGCAGAATATGTCGAGGGCTGATTAATTTGTAATTTTATGGTAGCCTCTAAAGCATGACTTTCTCACCTTGTAGAGACGGAGGTGGCTACAGGAGGCCATGAACAGTGCCTTTGCAGGCCAGGCTGATGAAGTGCAGCAAATAAAGGAATGCCTACAGGAACTGAACACTGTTACAAGCGATGAAGATGGAGGTGGTCGGAAAAAAAGGGCACTGGAATTCCTTGCATACCTGAGTCACACAATATAATTGCAATAATATTGGCTTAGTTGTTGGCAATGATTTGTTGCCATTTCTCCTAAAAAAGGTCAAAAGCCATTGGGGGGAATTTATCAAAACTGGAGCAGACAAAATCTGGAGCAGCTGTGCATGACAACCAACCAGCTTCTCTCTTCAGTTTGTTCAGCTAAGATTTGAAAATGAAAGGAAGAAGCTGATTGGTTACCGTGCACAGCTGCTCCAGATTTTGTCTGCTCCAGTTTTGATAAATTCCCCTCATTGTGTTTTGAGCCTCAAAAGAAATGCATTCAAAGTTCTGTCATAAATAGTGTGACAAATGGCCATGGAGGACACAAGGAATTGTCCTCAACTGGGTTTAAGTTGCCCCAGGTTAAAAGGCTCCACATTGGGACAGTGGAGAATGGATTTCTCTCTCACTAGGGCTCTAGAGTCTAGTCATTGCCACCACTACACTTGTTTGAAGCCACACTCCAGGCAGAATGATCATTTACACTACACTTTGGGTGTGTAAATTCTCATTAAAAAGCCGGATGTTATGTGCAGAGGTTGGCTGCAAAGTAGAAAAAAAAAATCTAACCCTGCAGTATGCCATCCCCCACACACAACGGCCAGCTTCCAAACAATGAGAGAGGGAGAGATGCGACCCAAGCTGTACTGAGCTCCGGTCTGTGATCCAGACAATATTCTATACAATATATAGAATGGAAGCAGCAGAATAAATGTAAGAGGACTTCAGACGGTGGCCTCGTATGGATTATTACCCAGTATGGGTTAAAATAAGAGACTCTATGGTCAATGTTGGCTAAACATTGACATGTGTTACAGTTTTGTCCAAGAATTTCAGAAATGGTTGCCCACATTCTCTCCTGGTAGTGTTTAAAAGTCTTGGCTAACTCCATACATTATGAATATACCTCATTTCTACTTGGGTCACCTTTTCCGGTGACAGTTGTCTAAGAAGCGAATTCTCTTCTTTCGGAGACGTCCTATTTTCTAGATATGTAAGATTAGTTTAGTTCCGAATCTAAGTTTGGACGAATTTCAGCATATTCGGACATTCAGATGCATCCAATTTCCGAATGAAAATTGAAAAAAAATTAAACAAGACCCTTTTAGGTCCTTAGGTTGTTTGGCGTTGGGGTTCCCCCTTAAAATTCTGTTGTCAAAATAAAATACTTTGAAAGTAAAAAATTCTGTCAGTCAAAAGTTAAAAAGAAAAATTCCCTTTTTTTTTCTTTTCCCCCCAATGTCACTTTGCTGCAACGTAAATTAATTTGTAAATATCATTTATTAAACAGATATTACAATGTCAACTGTGTATTTTAAAAGACCAAAAGGAAGTAAATAGAAGTTTGTTGTTAGAGTTTACATACACTTAAATGGTTTTTGGGATCACGTTTGTGTGTACAAATTCATATTCATTAGTGGACTGCATACATGTACTGATCAGCACTTTAATTCCTAGACTCACATAGTAGAGCCTAGATACATCCAATGTTACTTTTGTAATCCAAGTATTTTTAAGGACACGGCATTTAGCCAAAAATAATGACCTAATGCAAGCAATAGCTACATGGTGTGTGATGTTAAGACATATCATCAATGGAAGTAAAAGGAGTTTGCGTCATTTTACAGCATTTTCACAGCTGCGATCTAGAGATTGCTCGAGAGCTGTGCTATGAGAGAAGGAGCAATACAGAACTTAAAACAACCTCCATGCATAGATATTGTTAGATGGGATAGAAAGAGGAATAGCATCATGTTAACCATTTTGCTGCTGGACCAAGTTTTCCATTTTTCGCACACACATGATAAATTGAGTACAGTATTTGTTTTTGCTAGAAGACTTACTAAAAACTCCCAAAACTACACATTCTCTGAAAGCAGAAGGTCTGATCAATAAAGAGAGGGAAGTTGCAGTTTGGTGATTGTTGCATTCATTTCTTTATAAATACACAAAAAAAAAAGCAAGCTGACTTGGTATTCAGCACTCTATCTAAAGGGTCTTCTGTCTTCTGAAACACTATAGTGGTTTATATTTGTTAGGTCATCTCCTTTTCCCATTCTGACAGATTTCTGCAAGCTGGGTGGGATGGAACTGCTGTTGAATCGCTACTTGAGCTGCCCTGAAGCTGAGCTTTGCTGGAGAGCTGCTGACCTGATTGGCATCTGTAGCCAGAACGTACCGTTTGTTCAGGAGTGCGCATTATGTCTTGGTGCTATTAACAAATTGCTGCAATTACTGGATCAAGACAGCAGTGAACAAGTCAGGATAAAAGCCCTTTTTGCGATTTCTTGTAAGTCTTTTACTTTTCTTTATATTTGATTTTAAAGTACAAATTAAACTCGGCAGTTATTTTAGATTTTTATAAATGCTGTTAAGCTTCTCATGTTTTGAGGACTCCTGTGACAAGGCCTCTCTACTGTAGTTTCCAGGTATCCCTTCTGACATACCGATTACAAGGCTAAGCAAAGTGATTCACTCCCCCAGCTGCATTCTACACTAAAATAATTCCGAAGCATGACTAAGAATGCTTTGCAATGGTTGTGCCAGAGGTGGGGATAATGGTGCAGAGCTTTCATTATCATTGTCCAATATAAGAAGCTGGTTGGTGAATCAACCCAACACATGTCCCAAGCAAATATATTGGTTTTCAGCAGCCCAGGCCTCTAAGAAGCCATTCAACCACATGTTCGTTTAGTATACTACACGTTTTATAATTTTGGTAAATTTTATGTACATACTAGCCTCTGAATTACACTACTGTATTATCCCCCCAGCTTTCAAAACCCAATAGCTTTAGAGAGAAGGTCTGAAATGTAGAGAGGGATCTGATTTGTTGCTGTGAGCAACACCCTGACACCCCTTTTTCCTTTCTTTGACATAACATGCTCATAACATGAAAAGAGGCTAAGTAATGTGTAACACTTGCTCAAGCTAAAGGTGTTTTGGTTCAGGTATTTATCAGAATAAGTATCTATGCCAGGCAATATGACAGCCCAAAGATAAAAGATATACATTCTGGTGCCAGAGCTGTAGTGTTCTGGGCTGTGTATAGGCAGGTTGTTTTACACAGCTGAAGCTCCCTGTTGTGGCCTCTAACCTTGTGATCTATTACTGGGGATGAGAAGAGGCTTTCCTACTACTTGCATCATACTAATGACCACGTGCTACCAAGATGCTCTTCAGTCACGTGACCGGAGTTTGAGGACTAGGACTTCTTTAACTGTATACTGTTGCTGCATATTGAGGATGTCAGAAGTGAATGCAAACCTGTAAATTATTGATAGGTTTTCTTTAAAATGCAGTGCGATAGTCATATCACTTCTTGCAAGTGACCACATGTGAATATCGGGTAACTCTATTAAAGTGTCATATTGTGGCTTTCAGGCCTGGTTCGGGAGCAAGAAGCTGGGCTGGCTGAATTTGTGAAGATGGATGGCTTTTCTGTTTTAATGCGTGCCATGCAGAGTGATGTAGAGAAACTAAAAATAAAATCTGCTTTTCTACTGCAGAATCTGCTGTTTAGCCACCCAGAACAAAAAGGTAATTCAAATTGCATTTTAAGGGAATTTTGGTTGGTCAAAAGATTTCATTTATATTTTTTTAAATCAAATTTATTTTAAATCAAATATATTTTAAGCATGCTTACATGCATAAAGGGATGCACCGATAACGGTACTAGTATCGGTATTGGTGCCGATAACGAGTATTGGGACAAGTACTCATACTTGCCCAAATGCTCCGATACTTACCCCCGATACCGGATCTGCTGCAAGGGAGCATGGAGCCGGCTTCCTGGCCAATCGGGAAGCCTGCTTCACTTTTTGCTAGGCAGCGATCAGAAAGCCGGGCAGCACGTCGTGACCTGTCTCCCGGCTTCCTGATTGATCAGAAAGGCAGGCTGACTAGCAATAAGTGAAGCCAGCTCCCTAGCCAATCAGAAAGCCATGCGGCACGTCATGACCCGCTGCCCACCTTCCTGATTGGTCAGGCTGCCTTGTCGTGTCTAAAGGGAAGTGAAGCCGGTGTTCTTTCAATAGAACACCAGCTTCTCAGGCAATCAGGAAGCCAGGCGGCGGGTGACCCACCTCCTGATAATCCGGGCCCACGGATGCCGGTATCGGTATTCAGTATCGGTGAGTACAAAAAAAAAAAAATTAGTACCCCTACTCGATAATGAAAAAACGGTATTGGTGCATCCCTACATACTGTACATGCATACTTACATACTTCTCACAGTTTTGGCAATAATAATGTGTACATAATTAGCATAGCTAACAAAGTAATTCATAATACATTCTTTTATTTGTCCTGATTTATAGGGTATATCATACAGTATGTCTGGGATTTCAGTTTATTTTGTAAGTTATAGGTCACAAAATATAACGAGTGAAATATAATTTTAGTGTGGAACAATTTTAGAATGTGGTCTGTTTTTTATCTTTTTTTTTTTTTTTTTTACCTTTTAAGGCTGGGTTCACACCTGGACGTACCGAATATGCACGTTTGCCGCGCGCTTTTACCATGATTTGCGGTAAAAGAAACGTGCGACAAACGCGCGTTAACGAGCGCTATCTGGCTGTATCCTAATGGATACGCGCGGCAAATACGCCCCAAAGAAGCTCCTGTACTTCTTTGGGCGTTTTACAGCATGTTCCTACACGCTGTAAAACACCCAGGTGGGAACCATGCCCATAGGCAATTATCGGTTTTCACATGTTGAGCGTTTTACAGAGCGTAGAAACGCGCTGTAAAATGCCCGGGTCTGAACCAGGCCTAAGGCCTGGTTCACACCAAGCGCGTTCCAGGAGCAGAGCGGAGCGGTTACAGACTGGATCAAAACTGCGTCCAATGTATTCCAATGGTATTTTGGGCTCTAGTTCACACCGCAGCGTTCAGTTCCAGAGCATGTAAAAAAAACTGCAGCAAGCCCTATTTCTCCTGCTCTGGAACGCATGCAAACGCCCTGGAAGGCAATAAAAGCCCATTCTAAACTTGAAAAAAACAATTTTTTTTTTTTTTAACCAAAAACTACCCGGAACGCATCAAAAACGCGGCACAACCCACTGCACTGCGTGTGCAGAAACTCATGCAGATCTGGTCTGCATTTGGTGTGAACAAGGGCTAAGGGTTATTTTTTTATTCTCAGCGATAACTTTGTAACACACAGCCGGCTAGCAGATTCACAACACAGTGAGCTCTGACTGTCACGGCTCTGCGATCAGCTCTCCCTGTGACCACCTAATCTGCTGTTGAGGGTCTGCCTCGGACCTCAGGGGGGTAATTCAATGAGCGCTGGCCCCTTTACGGACGGACCAGCGCTCATTGTACCGCATGACTGGATTATCCTGTCACTGGTCGTTCACGAACTGAACGATGGTGACGGTACAATCTCTTCATCGGTCGGGAAGAGGTTGAGTACATTTCCATAGAACTGCTCCTATAAAAAAAAAAAAAAAATCTGCTAATTTTAACTGCACTTACACTCATGGGTTTTTATTATCCGTTTATACAGTAAACCTTTTACTGCCACTACTGTAACAATGGGGGCTGTGAGCTTGTGTTTACTTCAGGCTTGTAGTTGAAGTGATACATGTCGGCACATGTATGTTTTTTAAAGGCTTCAACAAAGCTGCTTGAAGCTTGCTAAAAGCTTTGGAAATACATTGTAAAGGCTTACTGTACACTGTTAGTTTTTTCACATGCTGATCCCCATATGTACAGGGTCTTTCAGGAAGTCCCACATTCCTCTGGCTGAATTTTACACTAAAATAATTCAGCATCATGGGTCAGACTGTTTTTGTAATGAAATTGCATGACAGGTGGGTAGAGCTGGGAATTTTGTTGCAGAGGTTTCATTGTCTGATATAAGAGGCTGGTTGGTGATGCAAACCACCATTCGTGCTCCAAGTGTTGCCCGAACTTCAAAGGAGCCATTCAAGAAAATGTGTATCCAATAGTCTACATGTTTTATCATTTTTATGTACATACTAGCCTCTGAATTACACTTCTGTTCTCCCTATGTACCTTTCATAACCCAATAGCTTTAAACAGCAGGTCCGAAATATAGAGAAGGATCTGGTTGGTCGCTGTAGGCAACAACCCAAACCTACCTGATCACTGCATTCAACTAGATGAACTACCTCCCATCTAGTGGCCGGACAGGAGCCTTGTAGATGCGGGTGGGCGTCTTAAAATGCCCTTCCCCGCCCGCACTTGTGCGCGGCGCCCAGTGTGCACAAGTGGGGAAAAAAAAAAAAAATGTACATGGCCAGTGATGGCTGCATACATACAAGCATTCCGGCGTCTGTAGAAACACCCGATCGCTTGTTTTAGGTGCGGGTGTCATCCCCCAACATCAGCAGATCTCCGCTTCATCAGCTTCTCTGGGGGTCCCTAAGTGACATTAAGGGTCTTGGAGACCCCTGATGTCTGCATAAGGAGGACCTGCCATATAAATTGGCTATTACAAAGCAAACAATATTACAAATGTGATGGCAATAAAGTTAAGTGTTAAAAAAAATATATAGTCTAAAAAAAAAAAAGTCCCCCTCCCCCCACATACAAACACAAACACACACACACACACACACATTGGGCAAGCCTACGTGCGAAAACAACGATTGCTCCTATTGTGCCGCACATGTTACATATTACCGCAAACAACGGAGTGAGAGTAATAATTTTAGGGCCATTAATCGCTGATAACACTAAACTGATGACAATTTTAGGTGTGGCCGTTTTTTGCGATTTCGCAGGCACACACAATTTTAAGACTTGACGTGCTTGGTGTCTATTCACCCAACGTGACCCCGTCTTTTATGTTTTACTAAAAAATTGGGGTGATAAATGTTGCATAGCATTTCATAAGGAAAACAGGTTTTTTTTTTCCAAAACTTATGGTAATTTTGTTTCATATAGTTAAAAAAAAAACTGGTGATTAAATACCACTAAAAGCTCCATCTGTCCCCAAAAAATGGTATAAAATTAATTTCAGTACAGCGTTGCAGGACGGAATAAATGTCAGTCAAAGTACCGCAATGCTGAAAAAGGGCCTGGCCAGGAAGGGGGTTTGACACCCCGGTCTTTAAGTGGTTAAAGTGACATTAAACTCAGGAGTTAAATCTTAAAAATGCATTCAAGTAACTTACACAAATAAGATACTTTTGTGTTTAAATAGTTTGTCTCTCAGCTGTAGATCCTCAAATCATCTCTGAATTGGTGCTGACACTGTCCTTCCTTCTGGAGAGGGGCTACATTTGTTCCCCATGGTCCCTGTGTGTGTTGTAAAGTAGTCACCACTCCAAGCTCGCTCCTGTGATGAGACTATAACTTCACTACAAATTGGCTAACTAAACGTGAGATTGTAGTCTACAACGCCTGCTTGCTTAAAACAGAGAATTGGATACAAAATTGGAGAACTGGATAAAAAAAACACAAACTGCACCTAGTGAAATACTGTTTAATATAACATAAAGCAAAAATGCATCTAACTACTCACATGGTCCATAAAGGAAATAGCGCATAACATACACCCATGTGGTTGACCAATATCGCAATATATATTTGCAATGCAATTTTACTGAAGTTTGCTCTGATGAAGAGTAAACTTTCCCTGAAACGTGTTAGCTCTTTGTAGCCCTTTGGATTGAAGCCTTGGTCTTCTGGTCATTGCTCAGGGTCGGCCTTAGGGGTGTGCGAGCCGTGCAGCCGCACAGGACGCCATGGCAACAAGGGCGCCGTGCGACCGTCACAGCTCGTCCTGTGGGCGGCTTCTCTCCCCCTCACCGCTGGCCATCCGATATGACAGCGCTCCCTCGTCCGCCCCCCCCCCCCTTCAGGGGGGGGGGGGCGGGGGGGGGGGGGGC